AGAAACCGCAGAGCCAGCCAAATGTGTGTTCGTGTCTCGGCATAAAACCGTGGGGCAGGAGCGTCATATAAAGGAGCCTAAGTAACAGGTTCTTCGAAAATGTGGCGAAGATAACTTAGCTATTTGTGGGTAACAGGTGGAAAACAAACGGGGAAGTTTCTTCGACGTTTTGCAACCGACAATCTTCCTTCGTCTCTCCCCCTGCTATTACAAAACTTTAAAATATAGATATAGAAAACTACGTGGCCTACTATTTTGTATTGGCGTAAAACGTGGTCTCACAGAGTAAGAGACAAACATACTTTGAGAACGGGGCGTACAGCAGCTTTAAGGTTGACAAACATTCATAAAATATTTTATGGCCATCAGACATCTGCAAAGAAAGCTTCAGCATGGACTGGGTTACGTTTTGTGGCCACGGTAATGAACTTTCGGGTTCTATAAACGGCGGAAATTTCTTGAATAGGCGAATGGCTAGAAATCTGATCCCTACAAATAATTCTGCTCCAAAGTTATCCAACTTGCCAACCTCATGAAGCTGTGGGTATCAGACATAACCTCAAACGTTTCACTTCGTCACGCGACAGTTCTACCAACCTGCGCCTCGACGTCACTTCAACGTCTACGAAGGAAGCTCTTGGGAGAAAATGCATCATTTAATTACACACGGGTATTTTACTCAGAGAATACTTGGAAATGGTTTGGTACAAGTGAACGTAACTGTAATCAGCAATTGTATAATCGAAAACACGAATGTAGAGTTGCTAACCATGTGAAGTTTCCAAGTTCTGTCTTCGTCGCTAATGGAGTTCTTGTGTGATTATCAAGATGTGTGATTTGTTATCGCCGCGTAATCAGTCCGCCTCACTCGCCAGTGGCTTTCCCGTTTGGTTAATGTGCCTTGACAAAGCTACAATATGAACGCCAAACAAGAAACCAAATGCTCCTCATAGGCAATTTATGCAAAACATAAACTCATTACTGATTCGGATGGAAACGTGAAATGAGTTCGTAAGACTCGAAAATTGTAGTTCCATAAATCCTACTGGTATCCGGCAACGTAAACTCAGACAGACAGATCACGCCGATGGACGGACGGATGCCTTGGCCTATTCCATGTGCCTGAATGACAAGAAACACAACGACAAACGAGACAACGGAATGGTAATTATATGTACCACCTACCTTAAAGTTTAGTAACTCTGCATTCTGCCCACAGTATATTTATGCGTTCCTACTGATATTTGCAAAGGTTGTGAGTTGTGTTTTCTTAGCGGTACGGACTGAATTCTTAAATATTGTTTTGGCGATATTCAGCTCCAAAGGGTTTAGATGGATCTTCTGTAAACAGAGTGTGAGTGTGTGAACCAGATTCATCGCGTTCAATGTCCAGCCTACTGCTAGCAACTTTGCAGTATCACCCACGAATTTGCTAACTGCGCATCATCGCTATAGGATTACATATTTCGGTACAATAAAAGTTTGGAGACTCCTCAAAACAAGACATTGAGAGCACTAAGAACCAGCGCCCCTCATCGCACGTACCGCTACGCTAGCCT